TGAATAAAAGATGCATGCATTATTTATAAAAAAAAAAACTTCTCAAAATATAATCAAAATAGAAGTACGAGTTGAGAAAGAGAGAGAGACTGATTTCACCAGTTTACATAGATTATTAGCAAGCAGCCAAATCCAACCGATCTACATGCCAATATGCTTAAAGTGTGTGTTCTCCTTTGTTGTCTCCTTCATAGAGATGATACTGTTCAGGTCGTCCACCAGCTAACATTAGGCTTATCACAACAAACATTAAGATGTGTTAATATCTGATCCCTGTTTATCCAGTACTCAGCAGAACCCCTTTAAGTTATTTTTCAAAATAGAACCTTAAGGACTCCTTGCGCTCTTAAGACCTGCTTCTTCTGCCTCTGCGTAACCTGCCATTACTGTGGATGTTTCCAGAAGAGACACCTATATGTGGTGCCAAAATGCTTTCCAGACTGATTTCATGCCATGCACTTTCTTATTAAGGATATTCTTCATAAGAATTAAAAGATATTTATTTCCTTACCAAGCAAATGTTATGTGTGCACGCCCATGGATGTACAACTTTATGAACATGGTAACTTCCTAAGATTTATAAACATATTCCATAATACTTAATTAAGAGTAATTTTTCCATATTAGCTCTGTGATAAAGTGTCTAAGACCCTTAATACCTGTCATGATATTATATTGGCTTTGTATATTTTTTAAATTAAGCGTTCAGTGTGCAACTATGCTTTTGCACTTCTTACTCCACTCTGATTACTATGTCTATTCATCTCTCCAATACTTTTGTGCATTCACTTTCTCAAAAGTGCCCTTGTTTATGAAATTCATACTGGATGTTGAATTTACAGGGAGTAATATTTCTCTTATGTAGCTAGAGGTAACATGGTTTGGGCCAGCCTAAAGATGAATGGTTTGCTTGTCGACTGCCAGCTGTCTGTTTTCTTGCGAAATCCACAACCAAATGACCTTGGCTTTTAGCTTAACTAATTTGTAAGTTGTTTTTTCCCCAATACAAATGCTTTATTTATAATAGAACGCTCAAATAAATGTAAATTGAATTAAATATTCATGACTTGACCTTTTTGCGCATGGATTGCTGTCAAAGTATGATGAAATGAACAAGAAAACAGTTATAGTGTAAGCATTTAATGTTGATCATTCACGTGCAGAAATGAAAGTGAACTCATAGTGTCGCTGTTCACCAGCAGAGGAAACGCCTCCAGCCTTTGCTCCTGCTTTGTTCCTCTAGGCTTGATCTTCTCCTTTTCAATTACAACCTTGAACGTGCTTTGGTTAGCCGTTCGCTTCAGATACACAGTTTGCAAGTGCGACGCATGTTTGATTTATCTTATACTGGATTTTCGCAAGTGAATAACATCATTCAACGTTTCCCAGTTGTTTTCCATTCTTGTCTCAGGATGGCACGCAATGGATATCCAGGGATTGGTCTGCTTTACGGCTTTACTTTCGTTCTTCAGCTGCTTCCAATCGGTAATGGAGACGTGAGCTTTTCTATTCCCGAGGAAATGCAACCCGGATCTGTCATAGGAAATATAGCAAAGGACCTCGGGCTGAACTTCGGGAAATTATCGTCTCGAAAGGCCCGAATTGACAGCGAGCTGAATCGTGAACGGTACTGTGACATAAACCTTAACACTGGAGATTTGATTGTAGCTAAAAGAATTGACAGAGAGTCGCTTTGCGGCGAAAAGGCATCTTGTGTCCTTAAATTTGAGTTAATCCTAGAGCAACCCCTAGAGTTGCATCGCATTTCACTACAAATACTGGACATCAACGATAATCCGCCTGTTTTTACTAAAGATGAAATCAAGATAGAAATCAATGAATTGGCTGTAAAAGGATCTCGCTTCCGTCTTTTGGAGGCACATGATATAGATATTGGGCAAAACGCTGTTCAAAGATATGCATTACAGACGAACAATTATTTAGTGTTGAAAATCCAGTCAAAATCAGATGGGGGTAAATTTGCAGAGCTATTGTTGAATAAGGAATTAGATCGCGAGGAACAACAGGAATTGAGGTTATTGCTTACTGCAATAGACGGAGGCAGTCCTCAAAGAACTGGCACTGCAACTGTGCATGTGACTGTCCTGGATGCTAATGATAACATTCCAGTGTTTACCCAGACCGTGTATAGAGCCATTCTGCCGGAAAACTCTCCTATAGGTACTCTGGTGGTGACCGTCGCTGCACATGATGCAGATGAAGGTCTAAATGGTGAGGTGACTTATGAATTAAGTCGAATTTCGGAAACGGGTAGGAGAGCGTTTTCTTTAAATCACACCACAGGTGAAATTAAAGTGATAGGGCCTTTGGATTTCGAGAAAGAGTCGACGTATGAAATGCGCATAGACGCCAAAGATGGATATGGCCTTACTTCAGATTCCAAAGTGATGATTGCAATCTCCGACATTAATGACAACCCACCCGAAATAAATTTAAAGTCTCTTAATAACCCCATACCTGAGAATGTGTCACCTGGCACAGAGGTGGGCATCATTAACGTGCAGGACAGAGACTCTGAGACTAATGGACAAGTCCGCTGCTCCATTCAGCAAAACGCCCCCTTTAAGTTGGTTCCTTCCATTAAAAACTATTATTCCCTGGTGACCACAGGACAACTGGACCGTGAACTAGTGTCTGATTACAACATTACAATCACCGCCACTGACGAGGGCTCTCCACCTCTGTCCTCCTCTAAAACTGTTCAGTTATCTGTAGCAGACATCAACGACAACCCACCGGTGTTTGAGGAACAGTCCTACAGCGCATATGTGGCTGAAAATAACAAACCTGGCTCCACTTTATGTTCCGTTAGTGCTCGAGACCCCGACTGGAGACAAAACGGTACAGTGATTTATTCTCTGTTACCCGGTGAGGTGAACGGTGCCCCGGTGTCCTCCTATCTGTCTGTTAACGGAGACACGGGGGTGATCCACGCTGTGAGGTCGTTTGATTATGAACAGTTCAGGAGTTTTAAAGTCCACGTGATGGCCAGAGACAACGGTTCTCCTCCGCTCAGCAGCAACGTGACCGTCAGTGTCTTCATATCGGATGTGAACGACAACTCTCCTCAGATACTGTACCCCGCCCCGGAGGGCAACTCCTTCATGACCGAGCTGGTCCCCAAAGCTGCACACGGAGGCTCTCTGGTGTCCAAAGTGATAGCGGTGGACGCGGACTCCGGACAGAACGCCTGGCTGTCCTATCATATAGTCAAATCCACTGATCCGGGACTTTTCACTATCGGGGTCCACAGCGGAGAGATCAGGACCCAGCGGGACATTTCTGAGTCTGACAGCATGAAACAGAACCTTATTGTGGCAGTGAAAGACAACGGACAGCCCTCTCTCTCTGCCACCTGCTCCATGTATTTACTTATTTCTGATAACTTGGCTGAGGTGCCAGAACTGAAGGACATTTCTTATGATGAGAAGAACTCCAAGCTGACGTCATACCTGATCATCGCGCTGGTGTCTGTGTCCACCTTTTTCCTGACCTTCATTATCATCATCCTGGGTGTGAGGTTTTGTCGCAGGAGAAAGCCCAGACTGTTGTTTGATGGAGCAGTCGCCATCCCCAGCGCTTATCTCCCTCCTAATTACGCAGATGTTGACGGCACAGGAACTTTACGCAGCACTTACAATTATGACGCCTACCTGACAACGGGTTCTAGGACCAGTGACTTTAAGTTCGTGTCATCTTACAATGACAACACACTGCCTGCCGACCAGACTCTGAGGAAAAGTCCGACTGACTTTGCTGAGGTGTTTGGCCAACCCGTTGAGTCTCTAGAGGTAGGCCAGATACATGTTTGTATTTAACGATTTAACATCGCACATTAACATTCAGTATACATTGAGTTACTTAAGCCATAAGAAGATAACTGCCTTTTATGCAATTGGGTGTTTGGCATAAGCCTCCTTAATTATGATGTGAAGAGTGACCCATGCGCCACTATTTTGTTTCCTTTTATAGATTTCTTCCATTATATGGTAGGTGTGATTTACATTTTGCTTGGCTGTGACACTTCTCCAATGCTTGATTATGATTTAATATATTTTCTTCTCAATACCTGGATCGTATGCTTTTGGAATGAAGGGGAATTAACGCCTAGTAAACATTTGTACGTGAAAGGTCGTATGTGTTGGCATTGCATGTTCCTTTCAACTCATTAAATTGTAATTTAGCAGTAATCAGAGTTTGAATTTGTATGTCTAGTACGTTTTAGAATCACAAGCTGATCAAACGTTTGCTTAAGCGATGAACAAAATGCTGATTCGGGAATTTTAACGTGTTTCAAGCCCCTGTTTTAAATGCTGTAATGACTGTCAGCTTTGATGTCTTTTAGATTTTCTTAATTGATGAAAACTAAACAGTTTGCTCATTAAATATGCAGATTACCGCGGGTATTAGTGTGGACCTCAGACATTGTTTAACTAACACACGACTATTGGATTTCATAGTCACATGTATTTGTTGTTAACCACGGGATGAGTTTCAGAGAACATTAAATAGCCTGTTTAATATTGGAACAGGGGTTTGCAATTGTGAATTTATAAATGTTTTAATCTTTACTTTACCACTTTAAATGTAAGAGTATGCAGTCATCACGTGTTATTGATACCTTATGAACAGAAATCATAAGTGAGAGAGAAATCTTTGGTCTACTCCTCGTCGTTCAAACGCTGTCCATGGTGCTGAATGGTGTTTCTGTAAGTGCCCCTATTAATCAAACCCCAAACATTCTACGAAAATAACTTCAATTTGTGTCTTAACATTGAATGCCATTGCAGGGTTGATCATTGCACTAACTCTGGTATTTTTTGCTGGGCTAGTAGTTGTTTATTTGTAATATTCCAAAAAAACTCACGGCGTCGCTGCTCACTCGCGGATAGGAGGAGATTCGTTTCTCCACCCACTGCAAAAGGAGTAATTGTAGCATTGAAACCAGACTGCCATTGTTGCAGGAACAGCGTATTCTGCAATTAACATTACGTTCTAATTGTCTCAGCAACAAGAAACATTTATTTTCCTTATCTTCTTTCGGAAACAACAATGGACTACAAAGGACCGTCGTTGCTGTGTTTCGTCTTCGGCGTTGCTGTCTTTGTTCACATCACCATTGCAGACCTCAGCTATTCCATTCCCGAGGAGATGAGACCCGGATCCATTGTTGGAAATATTGCCAAGGATCTCGGGCTGGAAGGAGGGAAATTGGTCGCTCGTAAAGCCCGTATTGATACCGAGGAAATCTATCAGCACTACTGCGATATTGATCTAAAAACGGGAAATTTGGTCATCAGGGAAAGGATTGACAGAGAGGAGCTGTGTGGGGAGAAGGTGTCGTGTATGCTTAAATTTGAGTTGGTCCTCGAGAGCCCTTTGGAGCTGCACCGCATTTCACTGCTGATCCAGGATGTAAACGACAATGCACCCGTTTTCCCAAAGGATACAATTAAACTGGAAATTAGAGAATCGGCTGACAAAGGAGCGCGATATCGTGTTAACGAAGCACATGACGCAGACATCGGACAGAATACGGTTAAACATTACAGTTTACAACAGAACGAACACTTTGTTTTATCTGTTCGAGACGATACTGATGGATCTAGGAACGTCGAGTTGGTGTTAGACAAAGAGCTAGACCGTGAAAAAGAACATGATTTAAATTTCGTGCTTATTGCTGCTGATGGTGGAAACCCACAAAGATCAGGAACTGCCAATATACACGTGACTGTGCTGGATGCTAATGATAACGCCCCAGTGTTTGACCAAGCCTTTTACAGAGCCAGTCTACCTGAAAACTCTCCACTTATACTGTAGTTTTCGCAGTAAGTGCCACTGATGCAGATGAGGGAGTCAATGGGGAGGTGATATATGAATTTAGCCGCATTTCAGAAAGAGCCAAAAAGCTTTTCTCACTGAACAGTAAAACTGGAGAGATTAAAGTAAAAGGGACACTTGATTTCGAGAGTAATTCTAAATATGAAATGCGAATCGATGCCAAAGACGGTTATGGACTTTCTTCTGATTCGAAAGTAATGATTGATATCACTGATGTAAATGACAACGCTCCAGTTATATATATGAAATCCCTGATGAACCCCGTAGGGGAGAACGTGTCACCTGGTACAGAGGTGGGCATCATTAACGTGCAGGACAGAGACTCTGAGAGTAACGGACAGGTCCGCTGCTCCATTCAGCAAAACGCCCCCTTTAAGTTGGTTCCTTCTATTAAAAACTATTATTCTCTGGTGACCACAGGACAACTGGACCGTGAACTAGTGTCTGATTACAACATTACAATCACCGCCACTGACGAGGGCTCTCCACCTCTGTCCTCCTCTAAAACTGTTCAGTTATCTGTAGCAGACATCAACGACAACCCACCGGTGTTTGAGGAACAGTCCTACAGCGCATATGTGACTGAAAATAACAAACCTGGCTCCACTTTATGTTCCGTTAGTGCTCGAGACCCCGACTGGAGACAAAACGGTACAGTGATTTATTCTCTGTTACCCGGTGAGGTGAACGGTGCCCCGGTGTCCTCCTATCTGTCTGTTAACGGAGACACGGGGGTGATCCACGCTGTGAGGTCGTTTGATTATGAACAGTTCAGGAGTTTTAAAGTCCACGTGATGGCCAGAGACAACGGTTCTCCTCCGCTCAGCAGCAACGTGACCGTCAGTGTCTTCATATCGGATGTGAACGACAACTCTCCTCAGATTCTGTACCCCGCCCCGGAGGGCAACTCCTTCATGACCGAGCTGGTCCCCAAAGCTGCACACGGAGGCTCTCTGGTGTCCAAAGTGATAGCGGTGGACGCGGACTCCGGACAGAACGCCTGGCTGTCCTATCATATAGTCAAATCCACCGATCCGGGACTTTTCACTATCGGTGTCCACAGCGGAGAGATCAGGACCCAGCGGGACATTTCTGAGTCTGACAGCATGAAACAGAACCTTATTGTGGCAGTGAAAGATAACGGACAGCCCTCTCTCTCTGCCACCTGCTCCATGTATTTACTTATTTCTGATAACTTGGCTGAGGTGCCAGAACTGAAGGACATTTCTTATGATGAGAAGAACTCCAAGCTGACGTCATACCTGATCATCGCGCTGGTGTCTGTGTCCACCTTTTTCCTGACCTTCATTATCATCATCCTGGGTGTGAGGTTTTGTCGCAGGAGAAAGCCCAGACTGTTGTTTGATGGAGCAGTCGCCATCCCCAGCGCTTATCTCCCTCCTAATTACGCAGATGTTGACGGCACAGGAACTTTACGCAGCACTTACAATTATGACGCCTACCTGACAACGGGTTCTAGGACCAGTGACTTTAAGTTCGTGTCATCTTACAATGACAACACACTGCCTGCTGACCAGACACTGAGGAAAAGTCCGACTGACTTTGCTGAAGTGTTTGGTCAACCAGATGAATCCCCCGAGGTAGGCCTAAATGCTTTCTTGTTCAGTTAAAAAATTTAATAATAATGATAATACTTATTATTATTGTTAAGAAGTTGAAGTACGCATGAGAGACTGCTAGAATAGGACGCTCCACGTTTTGGTTAACGTAAAATTCTCACTTAACATGTCACGCTGATTGTGGCTTTACAGTGTTAGTAGCAGTTTATAAGTTCCATCTAAATATTAATTGTGCATCAACTCATGTTAGACTTGAGCTGTCATATTTCGCCTGTTTATGTGTGACCAGATTGTAATCTAAATGCTCTCACATTTATCAAAAGGGAAGCACAACTGTAAATGCCTTATTGTCAGTTCATATCATTTGTTTCTTTTTTCATGTTGCGACCATATAAATTAGCTTGTGAGCGCGAAACAGTTAAAATTTCAGTCGATTGTTTTTCTGTGATGCTGATAATTTGAGATGTGGAATAAGAAACGTCAGTTTTTCTGAAATTGAGATGTCCCTACTTCATGATAATTCATATTTATATCAGCGATATGCTGATTCTAATAAAAAAAAATCATCAAAAGTAATAAATAGTAAGACAGGTTTGGTTGTTAGCACTGGAGCCTCACAGAAAGAAGGATCTGGGTTCTGCTCCTCTGGCCTGCTGTAACATTTCTGTGTGGAGTTGGCATGTTTACCTTGTTTCCAAATGAATTTTCTCTGGGCACCTGATTTTCGTCACACAGCACTGTGAATGTTTGTGTACAGTATATGTTATCCTTATTAGACCCGTGATCTGATCAGGGTGTACACCGCCTCTCACCTAATAGGCTGATTGATTTGGCACCAATCCCCTGCTACCCTGAACAGATTAAACGGTTGATGTAAATGATGATTGGATGTTGCCATAAGAAATTGCTTTATACTCACATATGCATATGTATTGGATATCATATTTTTAGTGGGATCTAGGGCATATCAGAGAAAAACATTTTTCATAAATGCAGGAAACGAATGTGGGTGGTTTGTTGTTACCTATAAAGGCTTATGGTTTTGAAATATGAATATGTTGTTGCCATTTTCACTGAGTGTAGTTAGACTATCGTATTGCTTATACATTTTTGGCGTTAGAACAAATATTTGTCATTGTTTCATGCGGACACTGCTCTCCAGCAAGCATTAGGACTTGTTTGTCAGGCGTTCGGCAGTTGCACTTAAGAAATGTGAAAATAGTCAGTTGACCTACCGCTCTTCCAGCTCTGTCCGTGGTGCTGAATTGTATTTTTACCGGTCCCCATTTTGAAATGATACGTTTTTCAACGAGTGAAGAAAAATTTAATACAACAGGTATTACCATGTTAACGTTCAATCAAGGCCTCGTAGTTTGTTTTTAATTATGACATTAACGGTGGCATCCTGTGGTGGTCTTCGAGTTATTCCAATGTAATTTTCCAGTTGATCCCACAGTGTCGCTGCTCACTTGCAGATATGAGGCAGATTTTTTCCTCCACCCACTGCAAGAGGGCAGTAATCCCAGCCTTAATACCATAGCTGCCATTGTTGAGGAGCAGCGTAGGGTAATGTTACGATTGCATCTCAAGTGTATATGAGACATCAGTAATTTGCATGCCCCTGTTTTCCTTCGAGATAAACAATGGAGCACAGCGGCAAATCATTTCTTAGTTTCATCTGGGGCTTTGCTGTCTTCGTTCACATCACAACAGCAGACCTCAGCTATAGTGTTCCGGAGGAGATGAAATCCGGATCCATTGTTGGAAATATTGCCAAGGATCTCGGGCTGGAAGGAGGGAAATTGGTCGCTCGTAAAGCCCGTATTGATACCGAGGAAAGCTATCAGCACTACTACGATATTGATCTAAAAACGGGAAATTTTGTCATCAGGGAAAGGATTGACAGAGAGGAGCTGTGTGGGGAGACGGTGTCGTGTATGCTTAAATTTGAGTTGGTCCTCGAGAGCCCTTTGGAGCTGCACCGCATTTCACTGCTGATCCAGGATGTAAACGACAATGCACCCGTTTTCCCAAAGGATACAATTAAACTGGAAATAAGCGAATCTGCTGACAAAGGAGCTCGATATCGTGTTAACGAAGCACATGACGCAGACATCGGAAAGAATACGGTTAAACATTACAGTTTACAAAATAATGAACACTTTGTTTTATCTGTTCGAGACGATACTGATGGATCTAGGAACGTCGAGTTGGTGTTAGACAAAGAGCTAGACCGTGAAAAAGAACATGATTTAAATTTCGTGCTTATTGCTGCTGATGGTGGAAACCCACAAAGATCAGGAACTGCCAATATACACGTGACTGTGCTGGATGCTAATGATAACGCCCCAGTGTTTGACCAAGCCTTTTACAGAGCCAGTCTACCTGAAAACTCTGCGCTTGATACTGTAGTTTTCGCAGTAAGTGCCACTGATGCAGATGAGGGAGTCAATGGGGAGGTGATATATGAATTTAGCCGCATTTCAGAAAGAGCCAAAAAGCTTTTCTCACTGAACAGTAAAACTGGAGAGATTAAAGTAAAAGGGACACTTGATTTCGAGAGTAATTCTAAATATGAAATGCGAATCGATGCCAAAGACGGTTATGGACTTTCTTCTGATTCGAAAGTAATGATTGATATCACTGATGTAAATGACAACGCTCCAGTTATATATATGAAATCCCTGATGAACCCCGTAGGGGAGAACGTGTCACCTGGTACAGAGGTGGGCATCATTAACGTGCAGGACAGAGACTCTGAGAGTAACGGACAGGTCCGCTGCTCCATTCAGCAAAACGCCCCCTTTAAGTTGGTTCCTTCTATTAAAAACTATTATTCTCTGGTGACCACAGGACAACTGGACCGTGAACTAGTGTCTGATTACAACATTACAATCACCGCCACTGACGAGGGCTCTCCACCTCTGTCCTCTCTAAAACTGTTCAGTTATCTGTAGCAGACATCAACGACAACCCACCGGTGTTTGAGGAACAGTCCTACAGCGCATATGTGACTGAAAATAACAAACCTGGCTCCACTTTATGTTCCGTTAGTGCTCGAGACCCCGACTGGAGACAAAACGGTACAGTGATTTATTCTCTGTTACCCGGTGAGGTGAACGGTGCCCCGGTGTCCTCCTATCTGTCTGTTAACGGAGACACGGGGGTGATCCACGCTGTGAGGTCGTTTGATTATGAACAGTTCAGGAGTTTTAAAGTCCACGTGATGGCCAGAGACAACGGTTCTCCTCCGCTCAGCAGCAACGTGACCGTCAGTGTCTTCATATCGGATGTGAATGACAACTCTCCTCAGATTCTGTACCCCGCCCCGGAGGGCAACTCCTTCATGACCGAGCTGGTCCCCAAAGCTGCACACGGAGGCTCTCTGGTGTCCAAAGTGATAGCGGTGGACGCGGACTCCGGACAGAACGCCTGGCTGTCCTATCATATAGTCAAATCCACTGATCCGGGACTTTTCACTATCGGTCCACAGCGGAGAGATCAGGACCCAGCGGGACATTTCTGAGTCTGACAGCATGAAACAGAACCTTATTGTGGCAGTGAAAGATAACGGACAGCCCTCTCTCTCTGCCACCTGCTCCATGTATTTACTTATTTCTGATAACTTGGCTGAGGTGCCAGAACTGAAGGACATTTCTTATGATGAGAAGAACTCCAAGCTGACCTCATACCTGATCATCGCGCTGGTGTCTGTGTCCACCTTTTTCCTGACCTTCATTATCATCATCCTGGGTGTGAGGTTTTGTCGCAGGAGAAAGCCCAGACTGTTGTTTGATGGAGCAGTCGCCATCCCCAGCGCTTATCTCCCTCCTAATTACGCAGATGTTGACGGCACAGGAACTTTACGCAGCACTTACAATTATGACGCCTACCTGACAACGGGTTCTAGGACCAGTGACTTTAAGTTCGTGTCATCTTACAATGACAACACACTGCCTGCTGACCAGACTCTGAGGAAAAGTCCAACAGACTTTGCTGAGGCATTTGGGGCATCACAGGATTCACTGGAGGTAGGATTTCTATGAAAATAGTTTCCATATGCATCTATAATTAATAACTCTCCGTTGTGCTGGTTTTTCTTTACAAAATATTAGCTATTCATTTCCTTCATATTTTTGATTTCATCAAAATATTTTTTTTCTCAACAAATATCTATAATTATTTATTCATTAAAACTTTTCTTAGTTCTTGCCTTTTTGTCAATATCTGTTGAAATTCAAATCACCTTGACACCAATTAATCCGAGAATTTTTTGAGTAGTATGTGGTTTTCTGTTTAATTGAAGTACGCAGTTTTGTTTTATGGTCGGTCGCTGTCCATGGTGCTTAACACTACAGCTGTCCCCGAAATGTACCCTGCCTTTATTGTCTTTCTGAGCTGAGGTCTCTTCAGATATATCGAGTTGCACGTACTGTTTGATGGCCCTTACTGTGTATGAAGAGAAGGCTGAAGCAGGTAGAGAGAGGGGAGGGACTCGCCGTATGTGGGATAGTCAACAAGGAAGTAAGATGGCGCCTGTGTTTGGCGAGGCCGCTGCTCCCCCGCATCTCAGGCGATTTTTCCTGTTTTTATCATCATTTGTGTTGCTATTCCAGCCTTAACATCCTCCGCCTACGTCTCAGCTGCTTGGACTTACGATCGACACACGCTGTTAAACATCAGAGTGTCTATGGAAAGTCTTCTTCATAGCCGGGATAGCTACAAACATTAATTTCCGCCTCCATTCACATGACCAGCTCCTGTTTACGTTACGTCCAGCTGCGCCGGCGCTCGTCGACGAACACATCTGGGCCACATCGCGCTGAGTGGACCCGATGTTTGCTGCCTATCTCACTTCACAACACGGGTGGTCACCCTCCCCTGCTGCCACGCCACCTGTTCTGCCCGCCTATTGGTCGGGAATCTTTCCTGTCCTGGCGTTATGCTGACGGGAACACGTCATCGTATGGGTCTGCCTCTGCCCGGTCTGACCAGCGAGTGATCACTGGATGCAGCTGGGGACCAACATATCGTATAGGGTGCCTACGGCAAATCCCACCTAAACCACCTTCAGAGGCTGCAAGCCGGGCACCACCACTTCACATTGCTCTGCTCAATGCACGTTCCATCTCTAATAAATCACATGTTCTAAATGAGCCGTTTACCAGAGAGGACATGGATTTCATGTTCCTTACTGAAACGTGGCAAAGGGACAAGGATTTTGTCCACTTACAAGAACTTTGTCCAGCAAGCTGCTCTATCATTGAGAAGCCCCGACTGGCACGTCGTGGTGGAGGTCTGGCCGCTTTATATCGGGACAGATTCCTATGCAGAACAATTTGTTCAGAAAGTTTACCCTCTTTTGAGTCACAGACAATTAAAATAGGTTCAAAGGATATGTTTTTCTGTGTGCTAATTTACCGTGCCCCTAGCCCCGCAGGTTCCTTCCTCACGGACTTCACCAACTTCTTATCCACCATAATTAATTAGAGAAGGTTCTAATAGTTGGAGATTTTAACACACATAAGTTCACTGCTTTGTTTGATCCCCGGTATGTTGTTGGGATGCCAGAATGTGGACATTTTTATTGACTCTTTTAACAACCAATGCACAGAAATTTTAGATGAAGTGGCACCTGTCAAACCTACCAAGACTGTTCACAAAAAGCATTTCCCCTGGATGAACAAAGCCATACAATCAATGAGGAGAAACTGTCGCAAGGTGAAGCGTCTATGGAAAAAATCAAATCTAGAGGTCCATAGACTACACCTCAAGAACCAAATCGCTTCACTAAATGAGTTGCCGAAGAACACAAGAACCCAGTACTTCTCCCACCTAATAGCGACAAATAAGAAAACCCCCAAAATATTGTTTGACATCATTCATGCTATTGTTTCCCCATCTATCCCTGAAGCTGCTGTATTTTGTAAAACTGACAGCAATGAGTTTCTGAATTTCTTTGTAAATAGGATTGCAGATATCAGGACAAATGTCTCCCAAACTCCTTCCAATCTTGCTCTCAGTGACCCACCCCCCTCTTATTCATGGTTCTCTTTTAACCCAGTGTCACTGCATGACATCAAATGCCGGCTGGAAAAACTGAAACCTTCCTCCTGTTCTATGGATGTCCTCCCTAATGTGCTCTTTATACAAGCTTTTGATTCAATTGGCCCTAGTATTGTGAACATGCTTAACATCTCACTTCAACCTGGCATGGTCCCTATCTCTTTTAAGCATGCAATCATTGAACCAGTACTTAAAAAGTCTAACCTGGACCCATCAGTCCCTAAGAACTATAGGCCCATTTCTAAATTCATCTTCGTGTCAAAAATTCTTGATTAAAATGGTTTTCATCTTATCTGTCTGGGAGAAGTTTTAGTGTTCTACCAGACAATTCAGCGATATATGTTACCACGTTTATGCGGATGATATTCAGCTGTACTGCTCATTTAAGGCCACAGATCTCCATAAATTATCCGCCCTAGCAAACTGTTTGAGCAACATCAAGCACTGGCTGAATGAGAACGCTTTGCAACTGAACACAGATAAGACAGAGACATGAATTACCCCTTTGATCAAGCAGTATTTGGGTGACCTGGGCTCGTCTGTGAAACTGAGCCTTAGGAACCTAGGTGTTGTCTTTGACTCAGCAATGTCCCTTGCGCATCATTCCAACCAACTAATTAAAAACTGCTTCGTCCAACCAAGGAACATATTCAAATTAAGATCGCTGGTGTCAAAGACAGAATTAGAGATGATCATCCATGCCTTCCTATCCTCCTGTTTAGATTATTGTAAGTCTTTTTACATGCATGAGTAATAAAGAACGCCCCCCCCCCCCATCTAAGAATGCACTCCCCACTTCGTTATGCACCTTAAACTGTTTTTTTTTTTTAAAAAGCAGCTGAAGACTGTTATTTAAACAAGCCTTTGCTAAACATTAAGCTTGCTTTTAAAGTTGTCTGTCATATGTCAATGTGTTTCTGGTGTTTAGCTAGAACTGTGTTTTGTTGTTTTATTGTGAAGCACCTTGTGATTTTATCTGTGAAGAGTGCAATATAAATTTTTTTAACTTAATTTCTTACTGTATTTAACAACCTGCGGGGTGACACTATTTTGTAATGTTTCTGACATGCTGTGAGTGTCGCTGTCTACCAGTCGAAAAGTGAAATAGGCTGCACGTGAAAACGTCAGGCGTCTCCACCCACACTTTCCCTGCTCATTGTTTGCCATTACACTATTTGTCTTGAATCGCTCACATATGCAGACATTCCTGTATGTTTTTGAGTAATACTGATCACATCATTGACATTTTTGCTTCATTTTGATTGCTGAAGGATGGAATATTACGGATCCCCGGCGAATCTTGTCTGCAGCTCACTGTTTTTGCTTTTAGGACTACACCTGTCTTACGGCGATGTGAGCTATTCTTTTCCGGAGGAAATGAAACGCGGATCAGTAATCGGAAATATAGCCAAGGATCTTGGGCTTCAAGTAAGCAGACTTTCACCTCGGAAGGCTCGTATTGTCCTAGAAGGAAACCGTAAACGTTACTGCGAGATAAACGTTAATACAGGAGAACTGGTCGTTGCTGATCGTATAGACCGAGAGGAGCTTTGTGGAGCGAAGATTTCATGCATTTTGAAATGTGAATTGGTACTTGAGGATCCACTCGAATCGCACCGGGTAGCTTTGCAAATTGAGGATGTAAATGACAACCCACCAGTTTTTGTTAAGGATGCCGTTAAATTGGAAATAGGTGAATCAGCTCCCAAAGGCTCTCGCTATAGAATAAATGCGGCACGCGATGCAGACATAGCACAAAACGCTGTGCAAAACTACATTTTGCAAAAAAACAATTATTTTGCTCTAAATGTACTAACTAATTCTGTTGGTACAAAATACAGTGAGATCATTTTAGATAGAGAATTAGATCGCGAAGAACAGCAAGAGGTAACCTTATTACTGACAGCCGTCGATGGTGGTAATCCACAGAGATCAGGTATCGCAGTCATACAAATCACTGTACTGGATGCTAATGATAACGCCCCAGTGTTCAGCCAGGCCGTTTATGAGGCTACTCTTCCTGAAAACTCTCCAGTAGA